TCCCTAACTTACTAGCTTCTGCTCTGGCTTTTGCTCTTTTCTCCTGGGTTGGGTGCGTATGCATGTGTTCCTCTCTCGACTTCTTGCTCTGGGTGATTCACTCGTTTATCTGGGATTTAGTGGGATGAGACTTTGCGCTTCTAAAGTAAAACATTAGGACAAAAAGGAGCATCCTGTTAGAAGAGATAGAGACAGACAGAGAGATAATGAGAGACAGAGACAAGAGACCCACAGAGAGACAGAGAAACAGACAGAGACAGAAAAAAAGAGACAGTGAGAGAGACAGATGGAGAGAGAGAAAGACAGACAGAGAGACAGAGACACAGGGAGAGAAACAAAGAGAGACAGAGTGGTAGAGCAAAGGGAAGGTAGACCACGGAGACAGATGGTTGGGTACTGTGGGTGGGGGTGATGGGGTGACCCAGACCAAGGTGGGGAGCTGAGAGCCAGGCAGAGAAAGGTGACAATTCACAGTCAAGGAGAGGCAGGGAATCGAGTCTGGATGTGGGGGCCAGGGGCAGCATCTTACATGAAGGAAGGGCTGGGACAGACATTTATCTATTAAGCACTTGGTATGTGTCAATTTTACTGATTTTTGTTTCTCTAGAAAATCACACATTCATCCAGATTTACACATTTATCTGTAGAGAATTTCTGCAAAGGACCGTCTCTGATTCTTTTAATTTTCTGTCTCTGTGATTATTTTATCTTTTCGTGTCTTCATTCAGCTGGACAGAGGATTATCTATTTTTATTAGATTGAATTTTCTGAAATTCCTTTTTTCTTCTTCAAAAATAGTAGAATGTCAGCAATTTCGTATGGTTCAACCTAACATTATTTGCCAGGCATTTTACACCCATTATCTCATTCAACACCCCCAAATGTCATGTGAGGCTTACCAATCATTACCACATAGCAGATTAGGCATCTGAAGCTCAGAGAGGTTAAGTTACTTGCCGTCAGAACACACAGCAGATATGTCATTAGTACCAACAAAACCCAGATTCTTCTGCTGCCCTTTCCACTTCACCGTGGCCATGGCTGCAGAGCATCTCAGGAAACGTCACACCTGTGACGGGGCTAGGAAAGGTTTCTCTGAAGGGCGTCTGCCACACAGGCCAGGAGAGGACGTCCTGATGGGCACCCGGGAGTGGGAGGATGGGAGTTTGCAGTCAGCTTTGGACACCTGTGGACTGAGAGCTGCATGGGGTGGGAGAGGTGCTCACACCCAAGTGTTTGTTGAGGGCCTACTATGTGTCGGGCACTTGTAGACATTGAAGATATACAAAGGAGGCCCCTGGAGTTTACATTCCAGCATCTTCAAGTGATTTAAGAACCTGAAAAAGCAAAGTGAAATTAACGAGTTCTAACTCTAGCAAAAGGGAGCAAGCAACCCCTCCCCCACCACTCTGGGGGCCTGATCACAGAATTACAGGGGTGTGAGGAGCGGTACCCAAAAGCATCAGGGAGGGGGGCGTGTCCTCGGCTTGGTGGCGAGCATTAACGTCACATGCATCGTCTTCGTCCCCCAACGCCCCTTAGCTGAGGACTCTCTGGGAAAATGGCAGACATAAAATCTTAGAAACAAAACATGAGCTTCCAAAAACAGCACAAACAAACACTAGCTTCCCTTGAAAATTAAGTCTACAGGAGCTGGGCAAACTGAAGTAAGACCCAGGATGAAATGAAGGCTGTCATCAGTAAACTTTCTGTGTGTGTGAAGGATTTTTTTTTTTTTTGCGGTACGCGGGCCTCTCACTGTTGTGGCCTCTCCCCATTGCGGAGCACAGGCTCCGGACGCACAGGCTCAGCGGCCATGGCTCACGGGCCCAGGTGCTCCGCGGCATGTGGGATCCTCCCGGACCGGGGCACGAACCCGAGTCGCCTGCATCGGCAGGCGGACTCTCAACCACTGCGCCACCAGGGAAGCCCGATTTTTTCTTTTTAATCCACAAAGTTTACCAAGCGTATCCAGTCTTTTTTTGTGAAATATTTGGCAGCCCTTTCTTGGCCTTGGTGCATGTTCCTTTGGTGGGAACAGATTTGCTGTGAGTGGTTCTTCAGATCACTGAGCTGCTCAGGCCTCAGGGTGAGATGCTGTCCCTCAGGAAGAGCCGGGTGCTTGGAGGCGAGCTCTTATTGTCCAGACAAGTTCGGAAGTGGGAGGTGTCTGGTTGGTGAGGGGTGAAGGGCAGAGGAAAGCAGGTTGGGATCTGGAGGAAGGAGCTGCTGTGATCAAAATCTTAAGGGTGACAGCGTGGAGGGATCTGGAGGAAGGAGCTGCTGTGATCAAAATCTTAGGGGTGACAGCGTGGACGGGGGAGGACTCTCTGGCTGATGGGAGGTGGCTGGCATGAGATGGGGGAACACTGGGTGGTGACCCCCAGAGTGCCCCTGACCCAAGCCCACCTCATGAACAGCCAGACTCGGTTGTGTTTTCCAGGCTGTTTGTCCCTGAGTGGCCCCAGCAGAGTGACAGGCATCGTGGGGGGATCCCTGAGCGTGGAGTGTCGGTATGCGGAGAAATACAGAGACAATAGCAAATACTGGTGCAAAGCCCCATGTTTGTTGTCGTGGAAGATTGTGGAGACCAAAGAGTCAGAGAGAGAAGTGATGAAGGGCCACGTGTCCATCAGGGACCATCCTGCAAACCTCACCTTCACAGTGACCTTGGAGAGCCTCAGAGAGGACCATGCAGGAAGGTACTCGTGTGGGATCATGGTACCATTTTCACTTGACCCCACCGTCCAGGTTGTGGTGTCTGTGTTCCCAGGTGAGCCGTGCACACACCTTCCCCCTGTACCAGCAACAGGGTTACCTGAAGAGTGTCAGGTTGGATTAGCCATCAGAGACCAAACTGCACATGTGTGTGTGTGTGAGAGAGAGAGAGAGAGGGGGAGAGAGTCAGGGCGCTGGCACCTCTCCTTAGTCTTGAGCGATGGGAAGGTGCCTGTCAGGGAAAGGGGAGGCTGAGAGAGTGAGGGTGCAAAGGAGAGAGGAGGGCGTGCTGGGGGCAGCCCCACAGAAGGTGGGGAGCTGAGTGGAGTGGGGGGGTGGCCGGGTGCCCAGTGCAGTGGGAGTGCTAATGAGATCTGCAGTCCAGACAGCCGTCTCTGGCAGGCAGCGTGTGGCTGTGACTTGGGGTGGGGGGAGAACGAGCCTGGGAGTGGGAGTGACTGTGGGCCCTCCAGAGAACGCTGACCTCATCAGCAGGATGGAATCGGGACTGTTGGGGACCTGTGTCCTGTTAGGAAATGCTCACTCAGCCCCGGGAGGGTCCTGGGGAGACTTCGGCTGCAGCGTCCTCCATCCTGCCCTCTTCCTGAGTGAGCATTTCATGTGAAATCAAACAAAAAAGTATTGGCGAGTGGTGGGAGAGTCAGAGAGCATTCCCTGGGTCTGATTTGTGTTTCTGCACCAGCACCAGTGCCAACCCACCACCCTGCTGCTGTGGCCGAGACCTCGACAATCACAGTCAATATTTCAACAATGTCATTCACCGCCCTGGCCATGGCGAGTCCCACCTACAGTGCCAGCAACGAGGAGGAAGCCATGCAGGGGTGGGGGTAAGGCACCCGAGTCCCCATGTCTTGGAGGTGGGCTTCCTCTTGTCCATTTGGGGCCAGGAGCCCCATCCCTTTGGCTGGGGACCTCTGGCTCTCTTTGCATCCAGGCTGGAAGCCAGTCTGCATCTCCTAGCTTGGGTTGTAGGGGTCAGGGTGAACCTGTCTTGGGCTCTGAGACAGGGCTCAGGCCGGGCAGAAGCTGGAGGGTGGCTGGAGGGAAAGTAAATTTTTTTTTTTTTTTGTGGTACGCGGGCCTCTCACTGTTGTGGCCTCTCCCGTTGCGGAGCACAGGCTCCGGACGCACAGGCTCAGTGGCCATGGCTCACGGGCCCAGCCACTCTGCGGCATGTGGGATCCTCCCAGACCAGGGCACGAACCCATGTCCCCTGCATCGGCAGGCGGACTGTCAATCACTGCGCCACCAGGGAAGCCCGGAAAGTAAATTTAATGAGAGCTGATGATATCCTACCAGGCACGTACTAAATGCCTCACATGAATGTTCTCATTTGTTACTCACAACCTTTACCATTATTACCCTCATTTTACAGACCAGTAAACCAAGGCTCTGAGAGGTTAAGTGATTGGCTGGGTCACGCAGCCACAGAGGCAGGCTAGGCTCCCAAGCCAAGTTTATGAGATTCCAAAGTCTTAGATTCTTTCTTCTAAGTTCGTGATTCTTGATCCTTTTTTTGGAGGGGAGGCCAAAAACCCCAGGAGAATCTGACAACATTTATAGATTCTCTCCCCAGAAAATACATACTGTCAGAAACCATTTCTGGGGTTCACAGACTCTCTATTCTGACACCACCTGGTGCCCTGCAGGGTGATTCCGGCACTGACCACCTGGAATTAGCACAGACCCCAGCGTCCCATAAGACTCCTAAGGCTCAGTGCCATAAGATGGCCTGACTTCAGAAATGCCAGGGCGCTTTGGGGATTCCCCAGGTCATCAGATTTCTGATCAACTGGATACAAACTTGGGGGTTCCCATGGGAAGTGCTGTACTTACAGATTTATCATAAAGGATAAATGTCAGGACCAGCCAATGGAGAGACACCCAGGGCGAGGTCTGGGCGGGTCCTGACTGCAGAGTTTCCAGTGGAGTCAGGGGACATCACCCTCCCAGGACATTGATGTGTTCACCAGCCAGGAATTTCCTCCAAGCTTTAGTGTTCATCGTTTTTATTTGGGTTTCATGACACAGGCCTGATTGATTGAGTCATTTTCCACATGACTGACCTCAATCCCCAGCCCCCCTTCACTTCCCTGAAGGTCAGGCTGGCTCAGAGCCCCAAATCTCTGATTACGTGGTGACCAGCTTCCATCCTGGGTCATGCCATCTCTCAGCAAGAACTCAGGCAGATCTAAGGGGCTCGTGAATAACAAACGTACTCCTATTACTAGGAAAATCCCAAGGATTTAGAGTCTTCCTTCCAGGAGCCAGGGGCAAAGGCCAGTCCGATTCTTTATTGCATGACACCCCCAAGGCCCCTCCACTGGCTTCCTGACAACCCAAGTGACAATCCTAATAACAGGCAAGGTGAAATTCAGGCCCCAAATATGCCACTTCCAGAAACTGGCTCTGCAGATGCACACCTGGGGGACAGAGCTGGGTTTTGTATGGCTGAAGCCTATGCAACTTATAGGGGGCAGGGGAGTGCATCTTTAAGAAAAAGACTAGAACATTACAGATGCAAACTAGGCATTAAAGAAAGGGCCCAAGCAAGTGAGGGACCAGAAACCCCAAGTTATGTCAGCGTCCCAGGAACTCAGCTCCTGCTTGGCCAAGTGTGAAATGGTATAGTTACAAGGTGAGTTTTTGCAGCCATGTTTGTAATTGCAATAGACTGGGAGAAATGCCCATAGAGAGGGTAGAGTTAAATAATTTATGGTCCGTCCTTGCAGTGGAATACTATGCAGCTGTAAAAAAAAAAACAACAAAACAAACACCCTGAAGGACTTCGTCAGGTACTGACATGGAAAGCTCTCCGAGACGCATTGTTAAGTAAAAAAACTAGTGTTTATACTCTGACTCTTTTGTGTGAAAAAAGGACATATATAAAAATAATGTACATTCGTATTTTCTTGTATCTGAATAAAGAGCCTCTGGAAGGTTCTTAGGTATACCGTGTGTGTGTGGGGGGGGGATTTAGGTAGATGGGGGATGTGTAGAAAGGAGACTTTATACCATCTACATTTTTTCAATGGGACCTTATCTATCTATTGAAGAAGAGAGGGAAGGCGTGATGCCCCACCTCACCTTCTCTCCCCTCAGGCTCCAAGCGCTGCTGGCCTTGTTAGCAGTTCTGCTGCTTCTGTTGGGGGGCATCTCACTGCTGGCCTGGAGAATGGTTCAGAGACGGATCAAATGTGAGTGAGTTCCTTACACCTGCCGCCCCAGGGTAAGCAGGCCCCGCCCACAGCCTCTGGTCTTTGAGGTTCTGTGTCCTGGTTCCCAGAATGGTCCTCAGATGCATCCCCAGAGACCACATATCCCAGGTGACCCTAGAGGGCAGATCCCAGAGGCGGTGTCCTGGCATGGCAGATGCAGGCTGTGGGAGATGGCTCCCCGAAAAGAGACCTTTCCCACAGCAGGGCCTGGGGTGGGTGCTTGTGAAGCCGTGTCCCTCTGCTGTCTAAACCCTTCTGTGACCTCCCACACTCTCCAAAGTCCAGGTCCCCACAGGACACTGAAGGCCCTCTGCAGTCTGCCCATCCTTACACTCTGGAAGGCAGCTGTCTCCCAACTTCTGCGTTTGCTCTGGGCGCCTGGGGTGCCGCCCTGCCTCTCTGTGGCTCACTCCTGCTGGGCCCTAAGCACTGCTCTCAGATTTCCTTTCCTCTGGGACCTTTTCTTGGCCCCCAAAGAGCAGCTTAGGGGCCCTTTCCGGGTGGACCTCGGTTCTTCCACCACGATAGCCCTTTTCACACCAGATTGTCACATCTGCTTCCATGCCTGCCTGCCCACCAGCCCGTGCGACTCCTTAAGATCAGGGACCCTGACTCGAGAAAGTACAGTATTTGTTGAATGAATGTATTATTTAATATCGTCACATTGGGCACCCCAGGAAGCTCCAGGCATCTTGTGGTCCAGTCACTCTTCTCTGAGCTCAGATTAAAAGAGAGAACGTAGGGTGCACCTAGCATCCTGTCCAGCGCTCAGTAAGTAGGTGCTCAATAAACAGTTGAGGAAATTAAATCAACAGAAGGACAGAGGAACCAGTGAAGCTGTGGCCTTGTTGTTAGCTGGAGGCCCGACTGTCACCTGGAGGACAGCCAGTTTCTGCCTGAGATGGAATGTGAGCCTCAAGTTTGCTGCGAGTTCTTGATTCCATGTGCACAGGGTTCTGGGGGGATGTTCGTTCGTAGTTACCAATGCTGAGCCTTTCAACGTTGCTCTGCTCCATAGCTGCAGTGCTAACTGGGAGTTGGTACTTTCTGGGGGCCGGGTGGAGGGGACCCTGCATTACTCTCTCACCTCCAGCATCCCCGCGGGGTTCAGCCTCTCCCCCCAGCACAGCTCAGGCCTTTAGGAGAGAAATCAGCCTCAACATATGTATCCTTGGTGGATGGAAAGAAAACCACTTCCTCTTCCCCATCTGCTGCTCCCATGTCATTTGGGGGAACCCTCCCCCTAAACTTCAGCCCATACTGCTTACCACATGGGGATTCTCCCAGCCTGGATTGCCTCAGATCTGTGGGTCCCAGCCATCTCCACGGTGTCCTTTCACCTAAAAAGCACCCCCCCACACTTAAAAAAGGGATGTGTGATCGCTGTAGAAAATTGGAAAAGTAAGTAAAGCACAAAGAAGGAAATAAATTCACCCTAATAAATAAAAACGGAAGCTCGCACCACCTAGAGAAAACCAACCACGGGCATTTGAGTCACGTCCATGCAGTCCCTTGCACATCTGATTTCTTAAAATGTTTGCATCATACTGTAATTCCACTTTTAAACCTTAACGTATTGTATGATTTTCCCTCTGCTAATAATGTTCTGAAAATCCCTGACTCAGAGTTGACTTGTGCGGGTGGGTTACACCTTGTTACGTGATCTTTGTTTAACAGGAGAAAGGTTTTCTGTTCAAGTAGCCTGACTGTCCCTCCCCTGCTTTGCTTCTCAGCTCCTGTCTCCTGGCTGTATCTGGGGTTGTCTACCCAGTGTCCTTGCCCCTCCGGCCTCAGCCTGATGCCTGCCCTACCACCCACTCATGGTTTTTCCCCTCAGCCCACTCTTGTTCATTCATTCATTCACTCACACAGCAAAGCTGTCCTGAGCAACTGTTGTGCACGAGGACCTGTGCCGGGCTCTTGGGGACACTGTCATGATCAGGGTAGACTGGCTCCACCTTCAGGGTGCTTCCCATCCAGGTGGCTGCCACCCAACTCTTTCAATGCCAGCTTCCCTCCCCAGGAATGGACTCCCATCCCTTCCTCACCAGCCCCCTTCCTCCTTATCATCAAATCACCCATCTCAGCTGAAGGGACGGAGGGTAGTGGGGCACCCACCTGCAGCATTTGGAACAAAATGTGTTCATATCTCAGAGCCCCTGGTTGCGTGTTCTGCTGAGTCAACTGATGGGGCTTAGCAAACGCTTCTGTCACACGTGCCCTTGTGTCTCCTGAAGGTGGGTATCTCACCTTTGACTTTGGGGCTCCCTCCCTGAGGCTGGACAGTGTCTCCCCGCAGCGTTTAATGGACTGGGCTCTGGAGTTGCCTGGCGGCGCACCTAGACCTACAGGGCATTCTGGCTGTGTGTGCATCACCTGCTCCCCATCGGCTCCTGGGGCTCCAGGTTGAAAGGGCCAGGGGTGCACAGAGTTTTGCTCGGAGGCAGGACAGCTGCAGAGCCACGCTGCAGGAGCCAGAAACAAAAGGTTGTGTGACCTGAGCTGCGATCCCTCAGAGCTGACAGGGCCTCGTGTCTGGGAGGGACAGACTCCCAGGCCAGGGGGTCAGAGCAGATGACCCTTGTGACTTTGTATAGTTTGATGTGGCTCTAGGTCTCCACAAGGACACTGCCTTTTTCTGCTGCGGAGCACAGGCTCCAGACGTGCAGGCTCAGCGGCCATGGCTCATGGGCCCAGCCACTCCGCGGCACGTGGGATCTTCCGGGACCGGGGCACAAACCCGCGTCACCTACATCGGCAGGCGGACTCTCAACCACTGCGCCACCAGGGAAGCCCAAGGACACTGCCTTTTATTTTATTATTTTATTTAAACAAATTTAGGGCTTTGTTAAAACACAGACAGCTGGACTTCATCCTCAACGTTGATAATTTAGTACATCAGCAGTGGGGCCTGCAGATCTGCATTTTTTTTAATTGCGGTAAAAAAATACGTTCCATAAATTTTTTTTTAAAATTTGACTTATTTTTGGCAGAGTTGGGTATTTGTTGCCACGCGCGGGCTTTCTCTAGTTGCGGTGGACCTGGGCTACTCTTCGTTGTGGTGCGCCAGCTTCTCACTGCGGTGGCTTCTCTTGCTGCGGAGCACGGGCTCTATGCGTACAGGCTTCATTAGTTGTGGCTCACGGGCTCTAGCGCGCAGGCTCAGTAGTTGTGGCGCACGGGCTTAGTTGCTCCGCAGCATGTGGGATCTTCCCCGACCAGGGCTCGAACCCGGTCCCCTGCATTGGCAGGTGGATTCTTAACCACTGTACCACCAGGGAAGCCCCCTACCATAAAATTTGCCATCTTAACCATTTCTAAGTTTACAGTTCAGTAGTGTCATGTATATTTACATTGTTGCAAAAGAGACTTCTAGAACTTTTTCATCATACAGACACTTCCTTTTAAATGAGTGTCCTTCCTTTCTTGTCTCTCCCACCTGGGAACTTTTTTTTTGTTTTTGGCCATGGTATGCAGCACGCGGGATCTTAGTTCCCTGACCGGGAATCGAACCCATGTCACCTACATTGGAAGCGTGAAGTCCTAACCACTGGACTGCAGGGGTAGTCCCTGGGGAACATTTTTATGAGTGACTGTTTGGAGAACTACCTTTGTTTGGCCCCTCTCCCCAAGCTGGATCCTTCCTGCTCATTCGTTTATTCATTCATGTCCTCATTCACTAATTCACCCATTCAACAAACCCTTGAGTTCCTACCACGCTACCGGCCTGAAGCAATAGGTCCCCAGGGCTGAAGTCTCTAGGGAAAGGCCTTCCTCCGGTTGGACAATAGGGATCCCCATCCCTGCCTTGTGCTGGGATTCAACCTCCTTTCTCTTCTCTTGTCTCTTTAGCTGGTGAGAATCCAGAGCCTCCCCAGAACCCCAGTCAGGTAAGAAAGGCTACTGCAGGAGGAGTGTCTGGGTAGCTGGGGGGAGCACAGAGGATGTTTGGGGCCTGACCTGTCCCATCAGCCAGTGGAGGTCTGTGTGGATCACACATGGATGGAGCGAGGTGCTCACCCCGAACGGGAAGAACAATGCCTGGGAGATCTGGTCACTGGGTCATCATGAACTCTAGCCAGTCTCTTCCCACCCCAGGGAAAGTGGAGTGAGGGAGGGTCCTCCCAGCCCAGCTGTTGACCTGACCATTCAAATACTCCCCTGAGAGGACCAGCGTGTGGGAAGGGGGAGGCCGAGTGGGAAGACTGGTACACTCAGAGCAGAGAGGGAAAGGGGAGATGCTTGCAGAGAAGGAGGGACAGAGGGCCCTATGGGCTGGACCATGGAGGGGCTCTGTGGACACCCACCAAGCCCTCACACCTCCTGCCCACCCTAGGCTGCTGAGCAGAGTGAGCCCTGCTATGAGAATCTAGAGCTGCAGATGTGGCCCCTTCTGGAACAGCCCGTTCGACCCACACAGGAGGAGGTGGAATACAGCAACTTGGTGAGTGCAAGGGCCCAGCTCCTGTCACAGGGACCCCGGGCTATGATAGAGGCATCACCTAGCGGGGTGGCAGCAGGCAGAGAGGGGAGTGAGGGGATCAACAGTGTTTCTCTAGGACAAGGACACGTAGAAAACGGGGCAAGTGTAGATTTTGCCAAAGGTTGTTGTCCTTGTAGCTGGGGGTAAGGGGGTGGGGTGGGAGATGAAGGAGCTATTGAAATGGCCGGTGATAATCAATAGTTAATAAAGTACAGCATTTATTAGGCACCGACCATGTACCATACACCCAATGTTAAAGACTGCGATTTCTCACTGTTTTGGTCCTATGATCTCTTTGGTATGAACTCTGCTTTTCAGATTTTTATCAATGACCCCCTGTGGGTCAACCCTTTGGCACAGCCATTGTAAAGTAGAATAATGGAAGAGGTTGCCTCCCAACCCTACCTGGCCCAGGGTCGTAAGCCACCCATTAGTGGAACAGTTTAGGCAGAGGCTGAGGGATCAGTTGTTAGAGAAGATGAGGGGGAGATTTAAGCATCAGACACGTGGCCCTGAGACCAACAACATCCTTGTTTTTCTAACTTGGTGACTAATGACCGCAAAGTAGACCCCAGGGAATCCCCCGGCTCTGAGGCCTGGGACTTTGTGCTGTGTCTTGACCAGGTCGGGTGGAGCAGGTGGGTGGACAGGATCTTGGAGACCAGCCCTTGCAAGAGAAAGAGGCCAGGACAGTGGGGAAAGGTGGAGCCACCGCCCCCCAGTGGAACCTCTCTAATGCCCTGTCTAGTGTCTCCCAGACTCCACCCTAAGCTGGGGGTTCCTGCTTCCCCTGCCTCTCCTGAGCCTCTGGTCTCTGTCTCTGCAGGGGCTCCCCAGTGAAAACGTTCACTACACCTCAGTGGTATTTGATTCCCGAAGCCAGGATTCTAAGACGGACAGAATTCCCTCCCAGAAGCCCCAGACGCAGGATCCAGTGTACAGCGTGGTTAAGAAGACATAAGCTTGTGTCTCCAGCCTTGCCAACTGGAGGGCTCTGTGAGTCACAGGAGGCCAAGGGCTCAGCCCCCACCCACGTCTGCCTCCACTTGCTCCCCTTGATGGTGACCGACAAGACAGCTGGGCTCCCCAGGACTGTCCCTCTTGTGCCATCAGCCAGGCTGGCTTCATTGAGGACGACCAGGAATGCGGTTCTGGATGGACCTGTGGGAAACCTTCCATCCTACTGGCTCTCGATGCATCTTTCCTGTCTTCTCTGTTTCATCCCAGCTCTGTGTGTGGAGGGCAGAAGCTCAGCCCCATGTGACTCCAGGAAAAGATGTGACCCATGTAGGGTGGTACCTTCGAATAGCTTTGTAAATCACAGCCCCATGGAAATGTCTGGGATTGCTGGGGAGTGGGGAGAACTGATGCAGAGCCAGAAGCATACAAAGGCACTGAAGGCTGGGTCCCCCTCATCTTACAGACAAGGAGACTAAGACCCAGAGAGAAGAGAGTCTTGTCCATGGCTCCAGAACTAGCAGCACGTTTCTCTGGACTCTTAGGTTTACTGTTAATATAAAGTTTAAAGTATCTTAAGAGAGAAGAAAAAATTAAAAGAAAAATTCTTTCTTTTGAAGGCTGAATAATATTCCATTTATGTATATATCACATTATGCTTATCCACTCATCTGTCAGTAGGTACTTGGGTTGCTTCTATGTTTTAGCTCTTGTGAAAAATGCTGTTATGAACATGGTGTACGAGTATCTCTTCGAGACCCTGCTTTCAATTCTTTTGGGTATATACCCAGAAGTGGAATTGCTAAATCATATGATAATCTATTTTTAATTTCTGAGGAACTGCAATACTGTTATCTGCAGCAGATGTACCATTTTACATTCTCACCAACAGTGCACAAGGGTTTCCAATTTCTCCACAACCTTTTCAACACTTGGTTTTTATTCCTGTTTTTTGTTTTTTTAATAGTAGCTATCCTAATGGTTGTGAGGTGGTATCTCATTGCAATTTTGATTTGCATTTCCCAAGTGATTAATGATGTTGAGCACTTTTCATGTGCTTATTGGCCATTTGTGTATCTTCTTCAAAGAAATGTCTATTCAAGCCTTTTGTCCATTTTCAAATTGATTTTTTTGTAGTTGTTGAGTTTTAGTTGTCTATGTATTCTGGATGTTAATCCTTGTCAGATATATGATTTGCAAATATTTTCTCTCATTCTGTGGGTTGCCTTTTTACTCTGTTGATAGTGTCTTTAAAGCACAAAACTTTAAAATTTTCATGAAGTCCAATTTGTCCATTTTTTCTTTTGTTGCCTGTGCTTTTTGGGTCATAGTCAAGAAATCGTTGCCATATCCAAGGTTGTGAAGATTTTGTCACATATTTTCTCCTAAGAGTTTAATGGTTTTAGGTCTGACATTGAGGTCTTTGATCATTTTTTTGTTTGTTTGTTTTTTGCGATACGCGGGCCTCTAACTGTTGTGGCCTCTCCCGTTGCGGAGCACAGGCTCCGGACGCGCAGGCTCAGCGGCCATGGCTCACGGGCCCAGCCGCTCCGCGGCACGTGGGATCTTCCCGGACTGGGGCACGAAGCTGCGAACCCTGCATCGGCAGGCGGACTGTCAACCACTGCGCCACCAGGGAAGCCCTCTTTGATCATTTTGAGTTAATTTTGTATATGCTGTTACGTAAGGGACCAACTTAATTCTTTTGCATGTAGATATCCAGTTTTTCCAACACCATTTGTTGAAAAGACTGTCCTTTCTCCATTGAATGGTCTTGACCACCAAGTCAAAAATCATTTGACTATATATGTGAGGGTTTATTTCTGGACTCTATTTTATCCCATTGGTCTATGTGTTTGACTTTATGCCAGAATCACTCTCTCTTTTTTTAAATTAATTAATTAATTAATTTATTTTTGGCTGCATTGAGTCTTTGTTGCTGTGCACAGGCTTTCTCTAGTTGCGGCGAGCGGGGGCTACTCTTTGCTGCGGTGCATGGGCTTCCCATCGCAGTGGCTTCTCTTGTTGTGGAGCACGGGCTCTAGGTGCATGGGCTTCAGTAGTTGTGGCACGTGGGCTCAGTAGCTGTGGCTCTTGGGCTCTAGAGCGCAGGCTTAGTAGTTGTGGCACACGGGCTTAGTTGCTCTGCGGCATGTGGGATCTTCCCGGACCAGGGCTTGAACCCGTGTCGCCTGCATTGGCAGGCGGATTCTTAACCACTGCACCACCAGGGAGGTCCCCAGGATCACTCTCTTTTAATTACTGTGGCTTTACAGTAAGTTTTGAAACCAGGAAGTGTGAGTCTTCTAGTGTTGTTCTTTGTTTTCAAGACTGTATTTGTTATTGGAGGTCCCGTGAGATTCCATATGAATTTTAGGATGGGTTTTTCTATTTCTGCAAAAAATGTCATTGGAATTTCAATAGGAATTGCATTGAATCTATAGATCACTTTAGGTAGTATTTTTATCTTAACAACATTAAGTCTTCCAATCCATGAACATGGGATGTGTTTTCATTTATTTACGTCTTTTGTAATTTCTTTCAGCAATGTTTTGTAGTTTTCATTGTACAAGTCTTTCACCTCCTTGCTTAGGTTAATTCCTAAGTATTTTGTTCTTTTTGATGCTATCGTCAATGGAATTGTTTTCATAATTTCCTTTTCAGATTGTTAACTGTTAATGTACAGAAATGCAACTGATTTTGGTGTGTTGATTTTGTACCCTGCTACTTTGCCAAATTCATTTATTCACTCTAACAGGGGGTTTTTTTTGGTGGAATCTTTTTGGGTTTTCTACATATAAGATCATATCATCAGCAAACAGATAATTTTACTTCTTTCTTCGCAATTTGGATGCCTTCTATTTCTTTTTCTTGCATAATTGCTCTGGCTGGGATTTCCAGCACCATGTTGAATAGAAGTAGCAAAGTGGGCATCCTTAGCTTCTTAATCTTAGAGGAAAAGCCGTCATTCTTTCACAGTTGCGCATGATGTCCACTGTGGGTTTTCTATATACGGCTTTTATAATGTTGGAGTAGTTTCCTTCTATTCCTAGTTTGTTGAGTGTCTTTATCATAAAAGGATGTTGAATTTTGCTAAATGCTTTTTCTGCATCAATTGAAATGATCACATGGGCTTTTCCCTTCACTGTGTTAATATAGTGTACTACATTGATCAATTTTTATGTTGAATCATCCTTGCATTCCAGGAATAAATCTCACTTGGTCATGGTGTATAATTCTTTTTTTTTTGTTTTTTGTTTTTTTTGTGGTATGCGGGCCTCTCACTGTTGTGGCCTCTCCCGTTGCGGGGCACAGGTGCCGGACGCGCAGGCTCAGCGGCCATAGCTCACGGGCCCAGCCGCTCCGCGGCATGTGGGATCTTCCCGGACCGGGGCACGAACCCGTGTCCCCTGCATCGGCAGGCGGATTCGCAACCACTGCGCCACCAGGGAAGCCCGGTGTATAATTCTTTTAGTATTTTGCTGAATTCTGTTTGAGAGTATTTGAGGATTTTTGCATCAGTGTTCATAAGGGAAATTGGTCTGTAGTTTTCTTTTCTTACGGTGTCTGGCTTTGATATCAGAGTGTTACTGGCCTCATATAGTGATTCTGGAAGAGTTCCGCTTTTTTCTATTTTTTTTGGAAGAGTTTAAGAAGGACTGGTATTAGCGCTTCTTTAAATGTTTGGTGGAATTCGCCTGGGAATCCATCTGGTTCTGGGCTTTTCTTTGTGGGGAGGTCTTTGATTACTGATTCAGTCTCCTTATTTCGTTATTAGTCTGTTCAGGCTTTCTATTTCTTCTTGATTCACTCTTGGTAAGTTCTAGAAATTTGCCCATTTTATCTAGGCTATCCAATTTTTTGGTGTACAGTTGTCCGTAGTACTCTCATAAACGTTTTTGTTTCTGTGGAATTGGTAGAGATGTCCCCGCTTTCCTTTCGAATTTTGGTAATTTCAGTCTTCTGTTTTTCTTAGTCCATCTAGGGAAAGTTTTGTTGATTTTGTTGATCTTTCAAAGAACAAACTTTTGGTTTCGTTGATTTTCTCTCTTTTCCTCTATTCTCTATTTTGTTTAGCTCTGCTCTAATATTTATTATTTCCATCCTTCTGCTAGTTTGGGGCTTATCCTTCTTTTTCCAGTTCCTAAAGTTGTAAAGTTAGGTTTTTTATTTGAGATCTTTGCCCCCCGCCCTTGTTAATGTAAGCATTTAAATTTCCCACTTAGCACTGCTTTTGTTGTGCCCCATAAGTTTTGGTAGGTTGTGTTTATATTTTCATTTATCTTTAAGTGTTTTCTATTTCCATTTATGATTTCTTCTTTGATCCATTGGTTGTGTAAGAGTGTGCTGTTTAGTTTCCACAAGTCTGTGAATTTTCCAGTTTTACTTTTTTTTCCCTTTTCAAGTATTTATTGAAAGATAAATAAACATAAATTGGTTGGTTATGTGTCAGTGTCAATTAGTTTTTTGAATCTGTCTTGTAATACTGTGTAATCTCTTATAAAAAAAATTTTTTTTGAGCATTGAGTAATGCCCTTGCAGTATGAATTGGGCCAACCATCAGATGTGTCTCCTCTCCTGTCTCAGTATGAATAAAATGCAGTTAAAAAACAATGAAGAGAATCCAGTTTAACATTTGTTATTTATTTCTAGTTTCATCCTGTTGTGGTCAGAGAAGAAACTTTGTGTATCTATCTTTTTAAATCTATTAAGACTAAGTTTGTGGCCTCATATATGGTCTATCCTGGAAAATGTCCCAAGTGCACTTGAGAAGAATAAATATATTGTTTTTGGGTAGAGTGTTCTGTATGTATCTGTTAGATCTAGTTGATTTATTGTGTTAAGTTCTCTATTTTCTTACTTATCTTCTGTCTGGTTGTTCTATCCATTATTGAGAGTCAGGTAATGAAGTCTCCAACTACTACTGTAGAATTGTCTATGTCTTCCTTCAGTTCTGTCTGCTTTTGCTTCACATATTTTGGTGGTCTGTTGTTAGGTCCATAA